ATATGTGGTTATGAAATTGTTTCATATACTACTTAATGAAACTATTTCATGTATTTCTCTAAAATTAAAATAATGAAGATGATAATATCCATGATTAACACCCTCCACAATAAAAATGGTTAATCAACTTCTCATAATTACAAAAAAATAAACAAAATGAAAAATTATAATTGATTGAATGAGGTTTTCACGGTTTTTACAAATTGAGTGGTTTTTATTTGAACTCACCCCTACATACATATATGTATATATATATGTATATACATATATATATATGTATATACATACATATATGTATATATATATGTATATACTGTATGTATATATGTATATACATATACATGTATATATATATATATATATATATATATATATATGTATAAAGGTGGAATAGTCAAAGAAACATGTTATGAAGAAAGGATGGGATGATGGTGGTTTGATTTCTTAAAAGACCCACCCGATTGATGTGGTGTTTTGTCGTGCTATGTCCCTTCAAACCACCTGCAAAAGATGTCGGAACGACTAAACTCGCCCTCCTCAATCCCTAAGCATCTATATCTATATCTATATATCTATATCTATATCTATCTATGCATACAATATGTGACTTATTTCAATTATATACATTAATAGTAATAATCTGGATTTTATTTTCTATCATCTAAAATATGTACCTTTTTTCTTTATTTTTATCTTATTCTCAAAAAAATAATCAGAGTTACGAGATTATGTTAGAAGGTGTGTCGTTTCCTCAAAAATGCTTATTACTGGTTTGACACGAGTATAAATTATTTATCCAAATATTTAAAAGTACTTATTACCGGTATCACACCGGAATAATTTAATAAATTGTTTTTTATAAGCAATCTCAAACACCCGCTAAGTTATATTAACTTTTTGCTTTTGCAAGTTTGAAAATCCTTTGTTGTTATGTTTTCTTTTTCCTAAGGCAATTATTAGCTAAGGGTGATTATGTCGGTTTGTACGTGTAACATCTTTAAATTTGAAAAATGTAAGCGGGGATTTGGACTCTTGGTCACTTCTAATTTCGCCCCCACCTCATAAATTGCATTTATCACGGGAATTGATCCGGTGCACTACCGCATTAAGGTTGATCTTCAATTAGAAGGGTGAAGATTCCCTCTTACCATAACTTATATTCTCACGGGAACCCGACCCTTGAAAACCTTAAGAAGTTGAACATCATAAGAGTCAATGAATCATTTATTGTTTCAAATTGTATTGTAAGAAATATTTTTGTATAACTAATATATGTGAAACAATATCTTGAATACGAATCTTGAATGAAAGAAAGCATGTGAAACAGTACATTTAAATTGGTTCACGTTAAGTTTGTAACATGTATGTGGTTCTCGTATGATTAACGCACTATACATTGATTATCTACATGTATGGTTGAGATCGGTTTGTAAAGATTGTAAGAATTACTTGGTTTTTAAAATAAACTTCCCATATATATATATAGGAGCGATCAAATGAAAACCGCCTTCATTTGTGTAAATCAATCTTATCCATCCATTTTCTTGATCAATAGTCAAGATTAGTTTAGGTTATATTAGGAAATTAAAATAAATATATAAACAAAAATTTATTTTATTATTCCTGTAAGGGCAAAATGGTAACTTTGGTAATGGTTTTATTAATGACAACCATATCATGTTATATCATTAAAATATATTCAAAATATAAATAAAACACACCATAATTACACAGGCTTTTCACGCTATTGATAATGAAATTGCTTCACTTTTCGCTAATTACATAGGTTTTTCATATCTTTTTTGAAACGGTTTCACTTGCTTCACGCACCCATATCATCATGCACCCATTTCATGATGCACCCATTTCATGCTGCACCAATTTCATCATGCACCAATTTCATAATGCATCAATTTCATAATCATTTTCACTTACTCCATGCACCAATTTTCACCATGTACAAAACCAGTTTCATGAATTTTTTTTGATTCTATTACTGATTTCATGGATTTATTAATCTGATAACTTACGATTTTCATGAATCTTGGCTGTAATAAATCGAGACACAATATAAGAAAATTCAATTTTTAATATCATAATTTAATTAAATATTTAAAAGTTACCATTTATTATATTACTTTAATTAAGATTTATTAATAACTTTCATATTTTGAATATAAAACAATGTAAATGACCAATATACCCTTAATGATTAAATTTAATTAGAAAAAAATGGAGTTTTCCTATTGGTCGAAATTAGTTTACACGGTTTTTAAGAATTGCACGGTTTTCATTTGAACGTGCCTATAAACAAAAAGTTCCAAGATCACACATAATCACATCTAATACAAACACAAAATCACATATAATACGAACATGTGTTGACCGCCTATAAAACGGGCGACCTCTCCCACAACTTTTGATCGCATTGACTAAATTGTCTGTGTCCCTTTTAGACTCGTATTACATGCGATTTTACTCTGTAACGTGATCTTGGAACTTCTCGACTCTATCCTTACATAAGCCTCCTACTTGATTATATATATATATATATATATATATATATATATATATATATATATATATTTCTTACATCTCCTTCTTCCAGAGCCCAAGTATCATATACGCCCCCAAAATAAAGAGCCTTGAATACTAGAAGAAAAGCACCTATACCAAACAAGATTAAGTGAATACCTAAAATTGTAGTCATTTTATTTCTATCTTTCCATACATAACCGAAGAATGAAAAAGATTCTTCAAGCGTCTCAGGTCCTAAAAGTGCATGATAAATACCGCCAAAGCCCAATACTGCAGAGGAAATTAAATAAAGTACTCCAGATACAAAATATGGAAAAGTATCTATAACTTCCCCACCAGGACCTACCCCCCAACCTAGAGTAGCTAGGTGGGGAAGTAAAATTAATCCTTGTTCATACATAGGCTTCTCTGGTACGAAATAAGCCACTTCAAATAGATTCATTGCTCCGGCCCATAATACGATTAATCCGGCATGGGCTACATGAGCCCCTAATAGTTTACCGGATAAATTGATAAGCCGGGCAGGAGGCTTATGTAAGGATAGAGTCGAGAAGTTCCAAGATCACGTTACAGAGTAAAATCGCATGTAATACGAGTATATATATATATATATATATAGTTATAGTGCACATGGTCCAGAAACCAATGGTTATAAAACATATACACACATTCTTATTTCTTAAAGGACGACATCTAAGCATGGCCATATACACAACCTTTTGTGTATACATAAGCTGGTCCAGCAACCAATGGCTATAAAAAAACCCCGTATATTATGTATAAAAAGTTGTAAATTTATCATATATATATATATATATATATATATATATATACTACTAGCAAATAATAAAAAATATACATACATCCTCAATGTTCAAATGTTGGGACTTGGTGGACTGGGGTCGAAAGCGGTTGGCTTACGACCCTGGTCACGATCCCTCGATAAGGATCCCCCTCTCGCTTCTTAATCAAATAAGCCATGCTCTTTTCGACTTCAGACTTGATCTCATTGTACAACTCTTTCGCGTTTTCTCGTTCTTTCAACTTTTTCTCCATTCCTGCTGTTTGTATAGGTTTCCCAAATAAATAGTAGAATCGGCCCGGCACTTTTGGCAGAAGCCCCGGAAAGTAAAGTTGCTGGTTAGCGATTTCTCCATCCATTTCGGTCCTGGAAATGGGAAAAATGATTATGTTTGACTTTAGAGGTCAACAAACTTTTTTTAAAACCGACATAAATTGCCGTATTCATTAAGATTTAGAGAACAAGCGGAGAACAACGTCAGAATATGTAACGGATTCTACATGGGTCGAAAAGTTTTATGTTAAATTAAAATCGGAATCCATATCGATTTTGAATTTGCAAAAAGTCATATCTTTCCAAGTTAAGAAACAATATGGAAGAGGAAAGGAGAAGCAATTCACCTTAATCTAACGGCTTCTTCATTCGATTTCCTTATGTAGTTGTTTAGCACCGGGATTTTCATTATGTCGTCATAGTCAATAACCAACTGAAAGAATCAAAGTAATCGTCAATAATGCAAACGACCGTCGGCATTTCATATAATTATCCCGAGACATCTTTTTAACAACCAAAACAATTTGCAAAGACCCAGAAAGAATATAAAAACACAAGTTGGGAAGAAAACGATTCTGCAATGATGCCACTCTTTGGAGCGCCCCCACCGTACCTGTAGGTGGAGCTACGTACACTGGGGAGCGGGAAATGCCCACGATCAAATAAATTTGAAAGAGGGAATTTTTTATATTCTTTTTCACTTTCTCTCTTTCGAGCCCCTAATATGTGCGGCATGCCCCCGGTCCCATGCCTATCATGAGGAGGTAAATCGTGTGTCTCGGTGGCAAGTGGGTGGTGCCTGGAGTCGAACCCCATACCTTCCATTGGATTATGCAAGGATGCCCACCTCCTTGCCCGCTAGGCTAATGCCCAAGGACGAAAAAAAACTATAATGAAACACTACATTTGAAGCAAAAAGGCTCAAAATTCTCTTAGATATGACACGAGGTTTTCCATAGTTATTGTTATCCCCCGTTGCTTCCACATATTTAACTATAGAAGAGCTTTTCTTCCTCTTCCAGGCAATAGAGGTCAAGTCTACGTACATCTTACCCTCCTAGACCCCACCTATATGTGGCCCGTTTGGTCTAGTTTGGTTTAGGCAACAAAAGACAGACTAGGTCAAATTCACACAGGTGCTTTTTATTCAAAGTGAAAAATAAAAGATTCTCAGGATGGTTGAATAGAGAAGGAACTTAAGAAAAATGAAGCTCGGTTGCCATGGCTAGATGCATTGATAAAATAATTTGTTCATGTTGTTAAGTAACGACTACATGACTGCATAGTTTACCTCAGCGACGTCATCTTCTCCAATAACTCCAAATGGAACGATGGTAGCACCGAATTTTGCTGCCATTCTTACAAATTCTGGTTGATCAGGCCAAAACAGCTTGTATTCCTCACCCTGGTAAGTGAATTAGCAAAACTAGTCATAAATTTTTTTAAAATAAAAGCAATAAAGATTGCCATCAAACCAAATTACGATGCTTAATGCATTAAAATTCTGAAACACAAAAAATGGGAAAAACTCGTCTTTAACACACCTTACGATGAAGAGCCTCACGTGCACCGCCAGGATAAAGAAGCCCAAAAGATTTTGATGAGAACAGCTTGAAGAGGTTGGTGGGAGTGACGGGCAGGGCACCATAAACTTTCATCAAATCAAGATTTGAAAACTCCGGAAGGTCGCTCTTAGAATTCTCTGTAAAAAGTTCTGGGTGGGCTATACCACGAACAACGACGTTCTTTTCTCTCACAAATTCTATAATGAGTGATGCAAGTTCTAATCCCAAGAGCATGTGATAACCAACCAACAATACAGGACCATCATCTGGAACCCCAGAAAGGCCTCTCACTATTCTTCCATCTTCTAAAGTTGAAAGCATCACTGGGCTGATAGCATAATGGAACCACCTGAATTCCACCATTAATATTACTACAGCCATCAGTATTCAAATAAACACAGTTTCTTACAAGATCCTAACCTCCCTGGAGGTCAAGGGTGAGTGTGTGTGAGTTTTGCAGTGTGTGTGTGTATATATATATTTATATATAATATGTGAGAATAAAAGTTATGGTGAGAACACTTCTGAGCCCTTGGATGAGTTGACCTTTTAATCTAACTTAATGTTTTCAACTACATTCATCTACCTTCAATTAGATTCAATTACCTTGAATTAGATTCAACTACATTCATATACTTTTATTTTCAAATTTATCTTCACTTTCACGAACTTTTATGTACATTTAATCATTTTCACAAGCATGAATTTGTTAAACTTTTGGTTATGATGATAAAAAAGGCAAATAAAGGTAATTAAATGTAGTTGAAGGTCTATGAAGGTTTTGTTCTCATTTCTCACGATAACTCTTATCCTCACCGGAACCCAACCCTATACAAGGAACGACAACCAAATAAGAGAATAACAAAACGGTCGAATGTCATGTGATTTTACACTAATATCACATGTGATTCTCGTGGCTTTGGCTGCAACATGAGGTCGTGGGCCACTTTGCCCACACACCCTTGCTTTGACCGTTAGTATAAAATCAATTGTGATTTTGCACGTAATTTGACCGTTTTCGTATTCTCTTATTTGCTTAGCATCTCGTTTGAACCTCATCCTCTCTCTCTCTCTCTCTCTCTCTATATATATATATATATATTTAAAAAGAAGTATATGGGAAGCTCCGAGTACTGTAAATCAGTCTTCTACAACACGCATATCACAAACTAACAAATACCAAAAGAGCAAAATGCAATGAAGTTTGCTTTAGTTCCTATTTAGTATAACGAAGAATTTTTTTTCTCAATGTAACAAAGTTTCAAAAATTCCTATTCTGTATCCATTTTGACCGGTAACCTGCTGATCTTGCAACATTTGATGATGCGGATGGTGGATGCCAAGTTGTGAAGTTATATTGATTTGAAAATATAATGGCAGACAGCAAGATACCAGTTAAAATTATTTTTTTGACAACTTGACATCCACGTCATCGAAGTTACACAATCAGCATATTACCAATGGGTACTAAATAATTATTTTTGAAACTTTGTTACAATGATAGAGAAAAAAAAATGTCTGTTAAACTAAACAGGAATCAAGCAAACTTCATTGTTTTGCCCGACACCAAAATGAGTAGATTCAAAAACAAGTGTACACAACCAAGTGTCAATTAGAAATCTGAGTAAGGTTCTGTCATCTCTACTTCCTTTTGGTCATTAGACTTGTTTAGTTTATTGAGCCTGTGTTTCGTAGTGTTTATTTACTACTTATACTGCATAAAGTATACGTTCAACCTTTCATCTTTTATATGACGATAAGTAATTCCCACCCCCAGGCCCTTTCAAGTGGGATATTCTGGGTTCGTTTGGTTTGGCTTGGTTTGGTACTAATGTAGAAACTCATAATTCTAAGATTACTAGCATGATGATTTAATTATTCGAGGGAACAATGAGGATTACTCTATATGATACAACATATGAAGTTCAAAAAGGGATCAAATAGTTTCCTTATTTATGTACTGCATACATAAAGAAATAAATCACATGCATGCAGAATTACCCATTTGTTTGAAGGCCATTTCTATACTCTGACATGCTAGGTGGCAGGTAGTCGTTTATGAAGTCGTGCTTCCATGTTCGTCGATACTTACAGGTGCCTTTAATTACTGTCAACAAATTCAGACCATCTTCCTGAAAGAACAGAATTCAATTTGATTAGTTGTATGTGTGCTTCTAAACACAAGAAGCATTAGGTTTTTTGCACCAAAAAGAAGGGCAAAATGCATCAAAATGTAACAAAGTTAAGTTTAGTTCCTATTTAGTGTAACGATTTTTTTTCCCCAACCAATGTAACGAAGTTTCAAAATTTTCTATTTTTGCAGTAAACTGTTGATCTTGTAGCATTTGATGGTGTAGATACCCGTTTATTAACAGTTTACCAAAGGGTAAACTGTTAAACTTGTCATCTACATTATCAATTGTTACAAGATCAGCAGGTTACCAGTCAAAATGAATACAAGATATGGAAACATGAAACTTTGTTACAATGATTGAGAAAAAAAATTATTTGTTACACTTAATAAGAGCTAAAGAAATCTTCATTGCATTTTGATTCATTTTGCCCGAAAATAAAAACATAACATCAACTGGAGTTCTGTGGATGAAATGCAAAAAGTAGAAAGAAAAAACTCTATGCTCTTGTTGTTAAGCTCTTGTCTTTGGCTTGTTTTTCTTATCCAACAGAGAGTTGAGCTTCCAAACTAATAAAGCACATTAACAGGCAATAATCTGTGATTATTTTCTTTCATGCTCATTAAATCTTTCATATTTTCTATAGAAAACTTTGTCTCACCCACTGGTGTCCTGACACAGGTCTTTGTTCTCACATACAAATCTTGTATCTCTTACATATTGTACATTCAAGTTGCAGGTACGCTATCATATGCCTTTTCTTGGTCTATGAGAACATTCCATATAAGCATATAAACTGGCACCTTTTCATAAAAAAGACAGCATCCGTTTTTACATTTTTCAAACTTCTATGCATATCATGAAGTTTCTCTATCCATATAAATGAAGACACACATTCACCATATTTAAGCAATAGTCAACTTGAGCTACTTCATCATGCAAAATAGATGTTCGTTTAAAAAACATATTTGCGAAAAAGCATAAAAGAATTTGAAAGCAACATATACTAAAAAACATAATTCATGAAAAAGCATAAAAGAATTTGAAAGCAACATATACCAAGAAGGAAAAGGACAATTGAAAGATAGAAAGAGGAAAAGTAAATCATTAAGTACCAGTAAAATAGTATGGCCGTTGTCCTTATAGTAACATACTTTGCAGTTTTGCAATGTTCTTGAAAGCCTTTTAGCTTCATCTTTACTCGGAAGCATGTTGTCCTTGCCACTAAATGCAAATGAAGAATTTAGAATGCTGATCATGAGACGCATTGCTTTTTTACAAAAATTGGTGTCTACACATGCATCCATGTATAAGGGCATGTTTGTAAGCAACTTAATGAGTTTAATGAGACTCTCAACTTATTCAATCAGCTATGCATGATTGTTTGGTTGTGGCTTAATGATATAGAAAGTGGCTTATTCAGTAAGCTTCCATGGGGAGCTTTATGCAGAAAGCCAAAAAAATTTTTCCCAAAACTGCCGCTCCCTATTGAAAAAACACGCTCCTTTCATCTTTATCCATACGGGACTTAATGGAAAACCAACTGAACAGCCCCTAAGTTTGTGTGAATACATCTGCTAGTGTACAAAGATTAATATTAGTTTATAGGAAGAAACATGTGCAAAAACAAAGGAAAAGACAAAAGAAAATATAAGGAGATAAGAATCTGACAGGTGTGCTTCGACATCAGTCGCTTTCTTGTTCAACCATGACTCTACCAATTATGCCATCTTCAAGGCATTAATCTCTTATCACACTTGGAACAAACAGCAAACGGTGCCATTTCGTCAAATTCCAAGAAAAATATGAATTCATATTCTTATTGGTTATGAATTCATGTTTATGTGACCAAAAACTTGTATGTTCATTGGATACAAAATTACAGAAAGTTGATCCACAAGGAGCCAAAAAAGCTTTGAGATATTTTTTCTTTCTCGGTTCTATTAAAAGTGGTAGACTTTGACCTTTGAGGTCAATGGTCTACTACTCATATTTGATATTTGATGCCTTCTGTTACAATTTTTTGACCAGCAATTTCTATTTGGGCCTTCTGTTACAAAATCTATTTTGGTTCATAATCATCTATGGACAAATTAAATCATTCATATCGATTTTGAAGTCTAAAGGTAGTCAGTGTGACCTCAAGAATCAAAAAGTATACCTCCACTTTCATAACAGAGAATATCTATAATAAATAGAACAAAATTAAATCAAAGACAGATGTAGACAGGGGCAAACCTATATATGCAAGTAGGATTATTTTTGAATTATGAAAGGTGCACCCTCTAAACTTTGAGGGGTGCTCGGGGATATTAAAAAATATTAGGAACGTCAAACAAAAAACCGAAAAAAGTACCTCGAAATCAAACCCAAAACCGAAAAAGTCACTCGAAATCAACCAAAAAACTTAAAAAATCTCTCGAAACGGTGTAATTCAACTAAAAACACATGGGATGACTTTGCGGGCCTTTGATCCATCTTAAGGTGCACCCGCTCGGCAAAAATCTTGAGTCCACCACTGGATGTACATTGAAGTTTTGTGTGCTCCGCCAATAAATATTACCTAATACTTTGGCATATACATCCATATACACAAATGCATAAACATATCATATCTGCATAACATAAACATAGGATATATGGACCACAAATGGAATGCAGCGACGATGGCTCTTTAACAAATTTCATCAAAATAAAGAAAACATACTATGTTGAAGTTGTGTAAGGAGAAAAGATTGTCACAAATGAACCTAACCTTGCAAGCAATAGCACTTCAGCTTTAACAGCATGGAGGCGAGAATTAGCATATGCAGCAGCAGATTTAAGTAACTTCAACTTCCAAATAAGTGTAGCTTTTGGAATAATATCGGACAAACTCTGTTATTCAAAAGGTACAAAAGATAAAGAGTGCAGGACAGGAACCAACATCAATTCCAACAAAATCATCTCCACTAACAATCTTCCACAGATAGATGGTTTCTATTCAAAGGCATAACCAAAGAATCAACAAACTCAATGTTGACACTCGCTATCCAGAAACCAGCACAAATGCATGAAACTTATTTATGTTAGCGTCTTTGTTCGCTCGAAGGTGGTTGGCATTTCTTGTTAACCACCAACTATCGAGCCCATTTGGATTCGCCTGAAGAATATGCTTCCGACATCTTGATAAAACCACTTTGGGGATCAGAGAATAACCCTATGGCACAAGTTGCGCATGGCTGACATACATGCTCCAACTTGAAAAGTTAGAACAGGGATTTTTATGGCTTGGTATTGTATATTTGTATTTATTAGGGTCCATAGGATTTCCCTTGGATCATCTGTGGCCCACTATTATACTCTATTTGAACTTTTGTTGCTATCGAGTAAATATTCTTTACAAGAAATGCTTTGTTCTCTATACTACCAAAGTCCACACAGAAACTTCTATGATGCACGAATAGGAGCTAGAATCTTATACAAAATAAGAGGTACCAAATAGGACGAATTTAGACTAAGAGCCTGTTTGTTAGGGATTCACAGCTTATTCGGTCAGCTATACATGACTATTTGGTAGTGGCTTAAATGACATAGAAAGTGGTTTATTCAGTAACCTTCTAGGGGGAGCTTTATGCAGAAAGCCAAGTTTATTTTCCAAGCCTACCCCCTCCAATTAAAAAACATGCTCCTTCCATCTATGAAAAAACTCTCCCAAATAAAACTAAAACATTCGCAATCTATACAGACAGATTAATCCACACACACAGTTTTATCCATACAGGACTTAATGGAAAACCAACCAAACAACTCCTAGAGAGAACCATCAAATCCGCTATATTAAATAGAAGTAAAACCTCAAACAACTTACTATTAACAAAATACAACATCAAGCAATAAAGGCACGTGCAAGAACAAGTCTAATAAATCTTGGAAGAAATCCTACCGAAAGGCGAGGAAGCATAGAAGTAAGGTTGGCAGATAGTTTCTCAAGGTTAGGGATACTCGAGCTTTCAGAATCGACCATCGCCATCTTTATAGGATCGCCTGATAGGATAACAAGCTGATGATCATGATAATGATGCTAGTGGTGTTACTAATGGTAATTTACAACAACAATTGTAATAAATATGACTATATGAGGACAAGTATGACAGCAGTCAGCAGAAATCACTAAGATAAAAGGGATCATGTAAACAGCTATTTAAGATTAACTTCTTGCATAACGTTTTCTAGTTACAAGTATATTCACTATTCAAGAGATTTAGGTATTTCGTCTTCCCATTACTATGAAAGCACTATAATCCCTGTACACATACAAACATAGATATAAATATTTACGAGTGAATGAATCCTATGACCTCGTTTCATTTCAAACTAACCATTATACTTGCGAAAATGCAAAACCATACCAAAGTGTCAAAGTGGGTAATCCTAATCATCATACTTGTAGTTTCATTGCAAAACTAACCTTGGATATTACCAAAGATCGCCAACTCTAATATACTGTAGTGTTTTTCTGTTTTTTTTTTTGGTTCGCATTTCAGCAAGTACAAGAAACTACAAGTATGATGATTATAAAACTAATTAACTCATGTATAAAAATACATAGACATACTCTTGAATTTGCCAAGTCATGATTTGATGCCCAAGGTTAAAAGTGTATCGATTTTATAACGGAGGGAACGTTAAGTAGTAACTGTAGCATCTAATAGAAACAGATGATATACCCATTACAAAGCTAAGAAGATAAGGGATTGTCACATGAAGCGTATCAGGCATGACCTCCAAGATGGGAAGTATAGGTTGCAGCTGTGACCTGTCAAATGAAGTCGCTGAAATGGATAATTGAAATCGGTGGTTACTAGAAAAATTCATAGATAATAGGCATTTATCTAAAGACCAAAGACATTCATGTAATTCCAGTGATATGACTTGTGTTTTTAACTGACCTGGATTTGCCAATATAACTACTAAATCGATTGCTGGATTACGAGCAGCAACTGCAAGAGCTAAACATCCACCAAAAGAATCTCCGACCACATATATAGGCCTACTTGGAAATAAAGCATGCTCAAACCTCAAGGTTTCCTCCACGAATATCACCAAATCTTTATACACAAAGAAAATGATATAATTATGAATCATTTTGCCAATCAAAGAAAAACAAAAGAAACAAAGAAAATGAGAGAGGATATAGGATGGATCATTTGACATAATGTCTTTCAAGCCACTGTTTCTACCTTAAAAGTGAACTCATATTAATAACCAAACTTCGGCCATGGAGGTTGTATAACACCATTGAAGTAATCAGCTTTTGTTATTATCAACTGAAACAACTGTGTTCACCAAACAGAAAGTTAACCTCTGGTTCAAAGTTTTTTGGGTCTATTTTGACATTTATTTTACTACAATATCATGTTCCCTATCATCGACATTGCAAATAGTTTTGTTACATATCCTCACCAAAAAATAACCTCCCACTCCCTCTTCCCCCTTGCTTCAGCCTTGGCTTCTCTGTTTCACTCTTAATTTTGAGAACACCAAAAACCGTCTCCGTAGGTCATAAGCTTATAAATTTATTCAACTTTGTTCAGACTAAACAAAGTTGCGTGACATTTAGATTGCAGCTTACTTGGGGATTGGTTGATGATATTTTGGCATGCAGTCATATTTTCTTTCTCTTCTCATATTGTTACATGTTCCCCTATTATGAGTTTCCAGGGTAGAAGTATTGCATTGTAAGATACATGTGGGGAAGTCAGTATGCCTACTTAAATTTAGAACAGTACTCCCTCTGTCCAAAAAAAATCAACAACTTTTTGGATTGCCCCAGAAAAAGCAACATTTTTCCCTTTCGGGTAAGATTCCAATCCAAATTTACATTTGAACCCATTGGTAATCACTAGCGGTGACATTGATTTTGGTCCACAAGTCTTCCTTACTGTCACCATTAAGGGGCATTTCAGATATTATCATTCAAAGGCTTTCACTAAACTGTGTCGACTTAAATGTTGCATATTTTTGGGGCAGAGGGTATTTTTTCCCATTTCAGTTACATATATGACAAAATAATGTTAGGAAGGATGACATTTGCTCGTTGAAAAGATTCCTACTAAACAGCACAAAAATCTAAAAGCACAACTCAATCATATTCTCCCATGAAAATGGTGAGACTTCCAATATATATATCTTCAAGAGGGGGAATGCACAGATTATAGATTCATATAGAAAAAGAAAGCGTAAGACCTTCAAATGGTGTTCGATCATAAACGGGTATGTGCAAGCATCGAACTTCAAAAACCCTGCAATCAGATAGCCCTCCTGATTACAAATAGCAATCGACCAAAATATCACAGACCAGACACAAAAACAGTAGAATTTTCAACGTTCTAACAAAATTGGTGCAACAAAAATAGGAAGTTTTTAGTTGTTTCCCAAAGACAAAGAGCCCGTTCATGGTAGAAATAAATGTCCTTACTACCAAGTCTAACTACTTGCCCAACTACCTAACAGATTTTTCCTTCCTCTGCTGCCCCCATGGAGGGTGAGTTTCCAATGGATCTTTCCTACCTAAGAGGACTAAAAAGCAATTAAGAGTGAGATCACCTAGCCATGCCTGAAGTGGAGATTTTTTTCTAACTACATCATTTCAGTTATGAATATGAAGAGTAGATTTTCAAGGTTCACTGAGTCCAGGAAGTTTTAAATGTTAGAATATTTCCATTACTTTGGCCTTAGGACCATTTATGTAAAAGTGTTCTATAAATTGGTATATTTATGTTTAAATATACTTAATTATTTATATTGTATCATTTGACGGAAATGATACATAAAGGACAAGTGGTAATTCCCTTTACACTACTTAAATACAACAGAAAATTAATATATAAATAAAAGGGGTATAAAAGGGGGCATTACAGTTATAGCCTTATAATACCCTTAGGACTCCTTTTATTTCAACGGTTTTCTCCTTTGTATGCATTCAACACCAAAAACAGAAAACAGAGAAGAAGATCTTGCTATTCAATTATCACTCCATCAATCAGTGGTGTTTCAAAGGGATTACTGAAAAGAATATGGCTTCATCCAATCCTACTCCTATCAAGTTCAACCAAGTAAGTGTTTCAATCTCTCTTTTGGTTTTTACGATTTGTGTTCAAATTGATTTACAAATGATTTTGTATGTATGATTTCTATAAAATTATCAATCATGTGGTATCAGAGCCAGGTTATTCTCAATCAATTTGAACCAATTTATCAAATCAAAAACCTAATTCCCGTTTTTCTGAAATCATTCGAATCTGAAAATTGAAAAACTTGAAATCTATTTATTGTATAAAATTGACCGTGGCCCGAGTGCAAAGGCCGTGCGCCAGTGGGAAAGTGCTCGTGTTCGAGCAACTGAGTCACTAGAATATCTGTTTACCATTCAGACCCTGTAACAAGGGAAAGGGTGGCGTATGAACTGACTTATCCAGAGCAGCAACCAACCGGCACAATATTGACTGTTAAGACATGAATTATGAACTCTTTCTCGGTTATCTTGTGAACGGGTCTTTGAAGGATGTCGACGGTTCGAGGGCTCCACTGTGTAATTAGCATACTTATTATATGCATAAATATGTTACACTCCCAATCGTGAGCTTATCTTCTTTTCTTGATTTTTGAATGGAAATTTAAATGATCGACCCAACGGTGTATCATTTAATTTGACATTCAAAATTAAATGATACCACATTATGTAATTGTATATATTATCATGCAACCAACCGAACGACTAATTGTTTGATAGTATACATGATGAATTGTAAGCATAACTTGCATAGGCATAACATTTCTGCCCAAAGGTGATGTGTAGTGTTTATGTAGCGTAGGTTAGAACATTAATGGTGTCGTCTTGTTGATTGTTGGTCATAACCAACGTGAAACCAATAATCGAACAAGACACTATCATGGCCTATTATTTTGGTGTTGATAATAGGTGATCTTCTAATTTATGACATTCTTGTTATTTTAAGATATCCCTAATACGTTTAATCACTTCTTTACATACATCTGATTTCACAGTAAACCCTGGAACCACTCTAACACATAACTATGGAATTGAGCCTTTGACTGGGACTAATTTCTCATCCTGGAGGGATAATGTGAAATTAACCCTTGGAGTTATGGATTTAGACCATGCGCTTAGACATGATCGTCCCACTGAACTCTCTGCAACAAGTACTGCAGATCAAAAGCGAGCTTACGAACAGTCGGAGTGATCGAACCGCATGTCACTCATGATCATTAAAAACTCCATTTCAGTAGCTATTCGCGGAGCCATTCCTGATTTGGACAATGCGAAGACCTACTTGGATTCGGTGGAGGAACAATTCAAGGGAATCTCCAAGGCTCATGTGAGTACCCTAATATTGAAGATGTTGACAAGCAACTACGATGGTGTAAGCGGTGTGCGTGAGCACATCATGATGATGAGTGACATGGCAAATAAGCTCAAAGGCATGGACATGGAGATCAGTGAGGGCTTTCTAGTCCACTTCATAATGACTTTTCTCCCTGCACAGTTTGGTCCTTTCAAGATCAACTATAATATGCAGAGAAATAAGTGGAAGATGAACGAACTTATTGCAATGTGCATGCAGGAGGAGGAGCGTCTTAAGATCGAGAAGCCCGATGTTGCTTATGTCACTACTACAAACTCAGGCAAAAGAAAGGGTAAAAGTCAATATGGAGAGAGTTCGAAGGTCCAGAAAACAAGTACAAGTAACACTCCAAGTTCAAGTAAGTCAAAGGGACACCCTCGCTGTAAGTTTTGTCATAAGAAGGGACACTTCCAGCGAGAATGTCCCAAATTCAAGGATTAAAGTCGGGAATGGAGCAGATTTAAGTGTTGAAGCCGTAGGAACCTTACCTTTAGTATTGGAAGGGGCTTCTGTATATATTTATATGACACTTTATATGTACCAAGCATTACTCGGAATTTAGTATCTGTACCTAAACTTAATAAGCGTGGTTATAAACTACTATTTGATGATGGTATAGTTACTATTAGCCTAAATTCTGATGTTGTTGATTTTGGTTATTTGGAGGATGACCTTTACAAATTACGTTTGGATGATGACTTCTCGAAATCCCCATTAGTATATAATGTCGATGAGAATATACATAAAAGAAAACGAGATCTTGAAACTTCATCTATGTTATGGCATCAACGCTTAGGCCATATTTCACGAGACCGTATGTTGAGACTCGTGAGAGATGAAGTATTACCGACTCTCGACTTTACTAATTTTAATACAAGTATTAAATGTATTAAAGGGAAATAAGAAGGGTGCCGCTAGGAGTTCCGGTCTATTGGAACTAATACACACCGATATTTGTGGACCTTTTCCCGTAGGAATAACTGGACACAAATAATTCATTACCTTTTTTTTATTAACCTGGATATCCAACCCGCTATGCGAGCCGACTAATCCCAAGGCGACCACCTGCTTTGCAGATAGCGTGGAGTCACCGCATTTGAACCTCCGCGGCCATAAGGGGATTTTTAACGCTTAGGCCATATTTCACGAGACCGTATGTTGAGACTCGTGAGAGATGGAGTATTACCGACTCTCGACTTTATTGATTTTAATACATGTATTAAATGTATTAAAGGGAAAATGATAAAGGGAAATAAGAAGGGTGCCGCTAGGAGTTCCGGTCTATTGGAACTAATACACACCGATATTTGTGGACCTTTTCCCGCGGGAATAACTGGACACAAAATCCAAATCTCTAGAAATGTTTAAAACCTTTAAGGCCGAAGTTGAAAATCAACTCGACCGAAAGATAAAGGTAGTGAGATCGGATCGAGGGGGCGAGTATGATGGTCGACATACTGATGTAGGTCAATCTCCCGGTTCTTTCTTTGAATTTTGCAAGAAACATGGGATTGTAAATCAGTATACCATGTCGGGTACCCCTCAGCAGAACGGCGTTGCTAAGAGGCGAAATAGGACCCTTATGTTAATGGTAGGAAGTATGTTGGCAAACACTAACCTACCAAAATTCTTATGGACCGAGGCACTAAAAACGACATTCCATATACTTGATCGGGTTCCTTCTAAGTCTGTTCCGAAAACCCCTTATGAAATTTGGATAGGAAGGAAACCCAGTTTAAGGTATGTATATGAAAATATGGGGTTGTTCGACCAAAGCTAAACTCTATAATCCTCGACAAAGAAAACTTGACATGAAAACAGTCAGTTGCTCTTTCATAGGATATCCTAAACGCTCAAAGAGATATCGGTTCTATTGTCCATCTCACAGTACTCGGATAGTCGAAACCCGACATGCCAAATTTCTTGAGAATTCAAATATTAGTAGGAGTAATCCCAATAATGATGTTGATCTCCATGAGATGAATGAAGAAAATCCTCCTAAAATGACAGTACTTTTTCCTCAAAATGTGCCTCTTGAGGAACCTATTGCCCAATAAGTGCCACCCAATGAAGGTACATCAACTTTTGAAGCAAATAACGATGCACCTCAGAATGAGGAGATCCCGACAGTTAATATTGAATCTCACGAAGGCGAACAGTCTTTACGGAGGTCTCAAAGATCTCGACGCCCTACTAACTTTGATGATTATGTAGTATATTTAAATGAGGCCGATCTTGACTTGGGGAAATTCAATGATCCTATATCCTATAATGAAGCCATAAATAGTAACCAATCAACTCATTGGAATGAAGCCATGATTGACGAGCTTGATTCCATGAGTAAAAACAATGTTTGGGACCTTGTTGAATTACCAAAGGGTGCAAAGGCCGTTGGATGCAAGTGGGTCTTTAAGACTAAACTAGACATGAACGGAAACATTGAGAGGTATAAAGCAAAATTGGTTGCAAAGGGCTATACACAAAAGGAGGGTATAGATTACCAGGTAACATTTTCTCCTCTTTCCAGAAAAGATTCCCCAAGGATAGTTATGGCACTCGTAGCTCATTTCGATTTAGAACTACACCAAAAGGACGTCAAAACTGCATTTCTTAATGGAGATTTGCATGAAGATGCGTACATGACCCAACCAGAAGGTTTTAAGTCTGAGGGTCAAGAACACTTGGTTTGCAAACTCAAGAAATCGATTTATGGGCTAAAACAGGCATCACGTCAATGGTATCTAAAGTTTGATGATGTCATGAAGAAGAACGACTTCATCAAATATCAAGTGGATCAATGTATATACTTCAAGATGAGTAGGGGCAAATTTACTATACTTGTCCTTTATGTGGATGATATCCTATTGGCAAGCAATAACATTGATATGTTGCATGAGTCAAAGCGCTTACTTTCGCGTAATTTTGACATGAAGTATCTCGGTGAGGCCTCAGACGTAATTGGTATTGAGATTCAACGAGATCGTGCCAATGGGACATTAGGTTTGTCCCAGAAGGCGTATATTGAACGCGTCCTTGCACATTACAACATGCAACATTGCTCACCTTCGGTTGCTCCCGTGGTTAAGGGAGATGTTTTCGGAACCTTCCAATGTCCGAAAACAGAAGTAGAAAAGGATCAGATGAAACTAATCCCTTATGCTTCTATAGTAGGGAGATTGATGTATGCTCAGGTTTTGTACATATCCAAATATCGCTTACGTAACGGGCATGCTAGGCAGGTATCAATCTAACCCTGGCCTAGATCACTGGAAGGCCGCTAAGAAGGTCTTACGATATCTTCAGGGGACTAAAGACTACAAACTTATTTTTAAAAGAACGGATTATTTGGAAGTAATAGGATATTCCGACTCTAACTTTGCTAAATGTAAAGATGATAAAAAGTCGATCTCGGGATACATTTTTATGATGTCAGGCGGGCCCATTTCATGGAGGAATCACAAGCAACAATTGACAACAACCTCAACTATGATGGCAGAATATGTTGCGGTCATGTTATATGCCATGGAATGCTTTTGAGGAATCTAATTAAAGGGCTCAAGATAATTAACTCCATTTCAAGACCGTTAATGATCTATTGCAACAATTCTGCCGTCGTAAGTTTTTTGAACAGTATCAGTTCAAGCAGGGTTGGATTGTATCTTGATACAAAGTACTTGTTCGTACGAGAACGCGTAGAGAAAAATAACCTTTGTATCGAGTATATCAGCACTCACGATATGTTAGCGGATCCGATGACGAAAGGTCTACCACCAAGAGTTTTTCAAGAACTTGTGATAAAGATGGGTTTTAGGCGAGACCTTGTATGATATACTAGTGATGTGCTTAATTATAATTAGAACAAGTATTTAACTTTGATTTCCTCATGTATCTCATCGTTTGTCTACACTTATGAATTGTGCGCACTTGCGTAAATCTTATAGACAAATCTTATGTTTATTACCACATTATGGTTATTGTCATTTGTGGCCTTCATTATGTGATATCTTTATACAAGTACCTTAGTATGATTGATGGGGGTCCCGTATCGATAATGATACATGTGACTGTATCTTTCTGCTATGGTGTGAGTATGAAGAATGTTTAGAACACTACTTAGCCAACTTAATGACAAATGGTCACTCGGCCAAGTGGGAGAATGTTAGAATATTTCCGTTACTTTGGCCTTAGGACCATTTATGTAAAAGTGTTCTATAAATTGGTATATTTATGTTTAAGTATACTTAATTATTTATATTGTATCATTTGATGGAAATGATACATAAAGGACAAGTGGTAATTCCCTTTACACTACTTAAATAGAACGGAAAATTAATATATAAATAAAAGGGGTATAAAAGGGGGCATTACAGTTATAGCCTAATGTATACCTTACGACTCCTTTTATTTCAAGGGTTTTCTCCTTTGTACGCATTCAACACCAAAAACAGAAAACAAAGAAGAAAATATTTCTGTTCAATTATCGCTCCATCAATCAGTGGTGTTTCAAAGGGATTACTGAAAAGAATATGGCTTCATCCAATCCTACTCCTATCAAGTTCAACCAAGCAAGTAAGTGTTTCAATCTCTCTTTTGGTTTTGACGATTTGTGTTCAAGTTGATTTACAAATGATTTCGTATGTATGATTTCTATGAAATTACCAATCATTAACTTGATTAAATTTGTCTTAAGAAAGAAAACTTTAAATTCCTTATACCTGTAAGTAGGTTTATTTATGCCTGTAATCCATACATTCCAGAAAAAGAGATAAAATTTGACTTTTGTTTACAGACAAGTTTTTTTTTGGGATACAAGTTTGATCTAGTTTATTTACACTTGGAGGCATCATATTAAAACTCAAATATCAACATGGATAATAGCCAGAAAAATCAAAGCATGCGATTTTTCTTAGGCATGGATAGAATAATGAAATGTTATTGGATATACAGCACTAGCATGAGATTTTCCCATGTATTCTTAATCTGTTGATTCCCATCAGTATGCATAGCTAGGTTGTGACTAATGATTTTGTTAGGACTAAAATAGTCCTAAGTTTATGAAATTTTAGATTTATGTTGTGAGGTTTTCCACAGATACAAAGAGAACTAACTCATCAGAAGGATGTCCTAAAAACCCTTGAGGCCTTGACAAGTGAAAATTAATTTGGCTGATGTAATTCCTAGAAGGGTCGAAGGCTGACCGCTAAAACCAGCAAGTGCAAGAGACCTTGACTGTAGTTGTATATCAGGAGAAGCAAACAGTACCACTGCCAAAACTAACTTGTTTCATGTACACAGGTGATTTCGATTTATCAATTTATCCCATTGGTAGATATTATAGTAATGCAACTTGAATTGCAGTCAGATACAATATTGATGGAAATAGGACACATGCCCAACATATTTCTATCTATTATGGTGATCAATTAAACTGAAGTATGTCATTCTAGCTTACAGACTATAGTTTAAAACTCCATGGTGATCTAATGTATTTTTTACATATGAAGGCAATTCTGGTGTTGTCAGGAATTATATGCAAGCAAATGGTGTAAATATAGAGGTGGGAGTATTAAAGTTATCCCAATACAATCAACAATGCTTAAGAAAGGGGCTCCGCCACACATATGTAGAGCCCACGAGGTGGGGCTGCAGGGCTCTTGTGTGTGTATGTATGAATGTATGCGCGTTGAAACAGAGAGTTCAATTTGGTTTGAGGCGGAAATTGACTTCAATGTGTAAATACCATTCAAGGGTGAAGAGGAATATGGATTATTTCTCAGGCAAATACTTCAGTCGAATTGACAGGCTAAGTTAACTGCATTAACATAACTTATCTACGTTTTTGTTTTACCAAAGAGAAAGAGAAAGAAACAGAAAATATGTTTAAGTGATAATTAGCTACCATATTGACGATAACAAAAGAATTCACTCACTTTCGAAGAGGCTTTTGGTGCAAAATAAGGCCCAAACCAAGACCATCCATCCCTACATAAAACCATTAAGTTTTATAAATCAGAAGTGGAAATATGAACACACACATATCTGGAAGAAAACATCTTACAAGTAAACATGTGTGCAAGTATGTAAAACAGTATACTGAATTGCAGAACGATATCAAGGAATAGAACTAATTTTAAGTAATAATGAAGAACAAGATATCATCATAACAAAAACCACCTTTAAAGAACAACAAGACATACCTAAGAAACATTACTGCTTTCGTTCCAAAATTGGAGATTCATTTTGCTTTTTAGTGTGTTTCAGTAACAACTTATCATGTCTGCACTCCTTTTTTCTTGAAACTAATATCCCATTCCTGTAATTCGATTAGTTCCCAAAGAGGGCGGTCATCAACTTTTGAGGTCAGAATGTCAGGGTGCCAAAAAAACAACATTCAAAAAAGATGAATGTAGCATAGTTTTGTATGTTGAGGTGGACAGATAGCTAGACTCTGAGGGATAGGATTAGAAATGATGATATACGCAAGAAGGTTGGGAGAAACTGAGGTAATACCACCTTGGACAAGTTTCTTCAACGTAGATCTTAAAAATCATTAGCTAGAAGAGGAGACAAGTACCAAGAGCATGTTGTAAGGAGGGATAAAGATTGCAAAATTGACATGGAGGGACTACAGAAGAGAGATTCGAATGGAATACCAAAAGAGTAGATAGGAGTGCATGGAAGGATGCTATTATAGTCCATGATCACTAGAGGTTCACCTTTTATAGGTTTTATTGGAATTCATTTTAGCTTATTCAGACTAGTTTGGGATGTCATGCTTGTTGATGCTTTAAATGTCAAATAAAACTATGATCCATTCCAAAATTTATTTAGATTATATGACAAAACCAAGAGCAATTTTATGTTCATCCTACCCTCCTCAGACCCTACTCCGTGTGATTTACGGGGTTCGTTTGGTTTGGTTTCTTACTTGTCATAAAGTTCAATAAAACCAAACCAGACCAGACAAGTCCAGTTTATCCCACCTGGATGTGGGGTCCCCCGCAAGAGTAAGCAGACTTGACCTCTACCCAAAAGAGTAGAGCGGTTGTTTCTGTGAAGACCCACCGCTTGTGCAAAGTGTGCGAGATAAAAAAACGACAATGAAGAACTTGAAAACAAGAAAGATAGTAGTAAAAAGTAAAAAATATGTTAAGAGACAAGCAACAACATTGAAACATGCAAATAGAGAAGTGCATGAAACATAACAAAGGTTACGATTACCTGCCCACCCTAACTACACGCTCAGTAACCCTACCCTCATCCTCTACCCCTCCAGATTCCTTCCTCCAGACTAAGCTAGCTATAGATCCCCACTCCTAGTCTGCTACCCTAGTCTTGCGTTTCGAAAAACTCCTATCAGAGGTAATGTCCTTGGAAATACCTAAACTCGCCATGTCTAACCTCAGTTGCTCATCCGTCCTCCTCCTCCTCAGCCTACCCCTCCTCCTCAACCCCTCGATCCTTACACTTCTACCCTCCTCACTGAAGCAGCCAAGTAATTGGAGGTATATATCAATTTTGACGCCCACAAGTAATATGCTTGAGCTTGATCCTTGGTACCACAGGGACAGATGCGTCAAAACCCAAATGATTTGAAGAGTGGGGGTGTAAATATTTTATGTTCTATAACCGTACCTGTAAGATGTCCAAATATCTGAAGTGTGATATATCCTTTTTGGACTTGAAAGCATCTCAAGTCTTGAAACAATATTTTAAAATGATATAAAATGAGCCAAACCCTCCATAAAAACAATATTCTTGTTCTAGCACGAATGTACCACACCTATCATATCAATGCTATTTCTTTTTTTTAATTTAGTAAATAAGTCTCACCAGTGCATATCTGGCCGCACCCATTTTGGAGACAGACACTCTAACTCAAGCATTGTTCTTCATAGGTTTGATTTCAAAATGATTGACAAAGTGTACCATTGTTCTAGAAAAAGATGGAATACATGTTATGCATCATTGCCACTACCATCCTAGTGTTCTTATAGCAATCATGGACTCACAAACAATGTCTTTACTAATATCCCATGGTAAATGGCAACATGATATCATCAAAAGTAATTATGTCTTCCCTAAACAGGGCTAATTTGAAACAGATAGCAGAGAACTGTATGTACATATGAATATCATAAACTAGAAATATTACTTGGTTCTCAAGAGAAAAATGAAATTACCTGGCAAATACAGAAGAACGGGAGAATTGGGTATTGGATTGTCGTTCCCATCTGCAACCACAGGGCAAAACCACCTGGGTGGTCCACCATCAGGTTTAATTATGTCTTCGGATATATCAAGATAATCTTTCACAGTCTGAGTCCCAAAGCCATCATCCCACAAAGTTTCCAGCTTTTCCTCTTTCCATCTACTCTTGTCATCAAGAGCATTAGAACCAACATCATTCAGGGACACGACTTTTTTATTTGAAGAGCGCCCACTAACTCTAACGGAATCTGCAGACTCCACAATAGATGAATCTGCTGCTGTCCCGATGCACCTAACTGAAACGCGAGAAAAACGATGCTTGTAACCTGAGTTCAAAGCAAAACATGGTGACAAGTTCACAACTGAGACTGTAGCTTCTACAAACATGGCTCCAAACCAGATTCAAATTTTGTATCACAATTAGCTGTAACCACTTGCAGTTTGCATTAAAAGTCTAGCTTGTTTGTTCAACGAAAAGGCCCAAAACCAGTTTTCAGTTTTGTATCATGTGAAGGATGGAAACCCCACTCAAGAACAACCAAATGGAGAGTACAATAAATTCCAGAAAAGTGGGGGGGTTTGAACAGAAATGGAAAACAGGAGGGGGTGGGGTCTAACGAATCACATGTAACAATTACTAGAACCAAGGAATGGAATAGAGATAGAATCTTAAAAAGAGAATGATGGGGAAAGTGAGCGATGGAATTCGTGGTTTCGTTCATTAATGGTGTTCCAAACCAGTAAAATTGGTTTACCTGAGTGAGTGAATGATTGATTGTTTGGACATATGATTGAAATGATGTGGCCGATTTCTGACCATTACTTCCTCAGATTACGGATTTTGGATCTTTTTCGAGCACATTAAACGATCAACCATTCTTGAGCATAGTTTCTCGTTCACAATTGCGCCACGAAACGTGAAGCTGGCCGAAGGAAAAAGAGTGGACCTCATGTCTTTCCCTTAGTAAACTTGCGGATACGCCACAAGAAATACATACATATGAGATGGTTATCGCCACAAAACCATGGTCTAACGGCTACCAAGAAGGACGGCAGAGAGTATGGAACCCTGCTCCACCACCGAGACGGTGGAAAATAAACCCGCTCTATCACCAACACGGTGGTTTCCACCGGTAAAAGTACCCAGGGGATGAGTGGGATTGGTTATAAAAACTTATTTTACACCCAATAATAAACTATTTTTAATGTTTTGACAACAGTTATATCGGTGTCAAACCGATAATAAAAAGTTTTTAAAAAAATTAAATTATTTTAATTTATAATAAATTGATAAAGACTTTTATAAAAAAAACATGACTTATTTCAAATAAGCAACCCCAAACACCCCCTAATTAACCGTCTAGTTATTACGAAATTTCTAAATGGATTTTAATTTTGGACCTTCTTGTAACCAAACACAAACTTATATAATATTGAAGATGATGACTTAAATAACCTTACTTTAAATTGTTTATTTTACTTATAGCACTAAATCATCTTCAACCTCCATGTTTTCCGTTAACATCAACTCTTTTCAATTTCAAATTACATTTGATACTCTTTTAATTAGTGATTTGATTTACTTTATATCTCTTACTTTCTCATTTTTCATTTAACACTATTTATTATATTAACATAAATAATTGTATATGAAGTAAAATGCATTTAAAAAATACGTTTCTTTTTTTACAAATTATACCATTATAATCATCTTGTCGGTATCTTCAAATTGAGCCCAATATTGAATCATAGGTCCAGGAGACAGGAAACATCTCCAAGATCCATATATGGAATTACACAACCATACAAACAAGTAGGTGGAGTTAAAAATGGAAAAACAATTTCAAATATATAGATATTTAATTGATAGTAATTAACCAACCTTGAAAGCGTATAAAAATCCCGTCATGATGACCTTTGCTCGTTGGTTCATGCACTTTTGGATGGCACAATTCATTTGCCTAAAGGTGGGTGCCCAGATATAGGATCCCCATGGAAAACCGATACCATAACCTAAGATCCTCTCGGCCCTGATCAACGTGTCCCTGACAAGCCGATGCTTCCTGACGGCCAAGAAAAACCACCTCCACCAGCATCACCAAACAGAATCGGACAACATCAGCGTCTGATAGGTCCTCCATGTCGCTAAATTGCGTAACCACCTCAAAAATCTTCAGGCATGTGAGATCTCGTGGTCTAGGTCCCGCTGCGGCTGGGAACACCCTACGGATGAAAGAGTCATCTCGTAGGGCAAGCAAGCTTGTCTGTGGTCCAAAACATAGTCCTGTCAAAAGACAAAACTCCTTCCGCCTGTATCAGAGATAATGACCACCGATATCAAACCACATCTAGTCTTCCTCCCCATTCTCTGGGAAGCCCTGTCTTTGCGTCAACATATGGATCAACATGGGCTCTCCACCACACATGGTAATGTACAACCATGGACCAAAGCAGGTGTTAGCGAAAGAGGACCAGCCTGATGCAATAGATATCCGGCACTTGATCATCAACAATGTCCAGTAAAAATCCTCCTACATAGTGATTCAATCGGTCATTATGATTAACATAATATGTAACTAATACAATTTTAGGAACCTAATCTGTAAATATTCTAAATTTAGGAACCCAATTTTTAACTAAAATAACCACATGGACCTAATATGTAACTAATATAATTATAGGGACCTGATCTATAACTAATATAATTACAGGGACCAATTTTGTAACTAGTTTAAGTGCAGAGATCAAACTTATAAATATTCTAAATGCAGGGACCTAACCTGTAACTATTTTAGGTGTAGGGACCTAAATCTAATCTGTAACTAATGTAATTACAGGGACCAACTTTGTAACTATTTTTAAATGCATGGACCAAATTTGTAAATATTTTAAGTTCATAGACCAATTCTGTAAATACACTAATTATAGGGATGTAATTTGCAATTACTTTCAATGCAGAGACCTAATTTTTGAATATTTTATGCTAGAAAATTTATAATCTTTCAAAATTAGTTGGACCTTTATACAGTAAGACTACTAAAAATGGACAAAAACATTTTAACAATGAAGATATAAAATTGGTTAGAATAATAAAAGAGGCAGTTAGAAATATACAATCGAACAATTCTATCACTAATTCTACTGACAAATGTCACCTAACTTTATCTTTAAGTTAAAAGAAACAAATACAAATCAAACATATGTAAGATCTAAGAAATTACACTTTTTGTTGCTCCTGTATCTAATAATGTTGTTAAATCTAAGAATTTGTTAGTATCGCAGGGACCAAAATCAAAAAAAAATCAGATTGACCAAGACCAAAACCAAGTCCGTCATTTTTGCGAACCTGTTCTTAGTCCACCGGAGAAAAAAAAATCGATCTTCGTCTAAAAACCCACTTTCAACCGGTTTCGTCTAATTGGGCCCCAAAATTAGGTCATGTTCAAAAACTCATTTAACATGCTAATAAACGGTTTTACTTATGACATACTTATACTATAGATAAACTAGTATTTCAACCGTGCGTTGCGCGGTAGCGATAATACCATTTTCAAAAGAAATGTTATAGATTGAAATTTGAAGTCCTGAGATTAGGCAAATCTGTGTGACAACTATTCATTAACATTAAAAGTTTTTAAGAAGAGTTGACAATAATCTTAGAACCATATGTAATTTAAGTTATCAAACTATGCTCTAGAACGGTGTTGCAAAGTACGCTACAAATGTTTGACTAATGTTAATAGTTTGTTTGATTAGAAGTCATATTTTTAATTAAAATCTCATCTAAGGTGACAAAAACAAATTTTATTTTGTGACAAATTTAATTGAAATTTCATTTGAAGTAATGAAAAATAAACGTTCTATAATATTTCAAGTGAAAATTAAAGAATTGTGTAAGTTATAGCAACAATAATGGAAGTTCATGGCGATGCATGGAGAATCACATCGCCAAACTAAGATGATAAATTTTTCTCGTAAAAAAAATAAAATTAATATCAAGTGGGGCCGGTGACCCACATATCAGATATTAAACTGATAAAAATACTACATTTCATCGTAACATTCTATAATATTTGAATTATAATGCGCGCGCACACGCGCACACACACACACATATTATATATATATATATATATATATATATATATATTGATGATTGTAAAAACAATTCATTTTTTATTTTTATATAATAAGATTTGTTTTGCAAAATTAGGGTCATCCAAATAAGATAACCTTATGACTCAAGTCTCATGAGCTAACACAATATAAGATTTGTTTTGCAAAAATAAGGTCATCCAAATAAGATAACCTTATGACTTAAACCTCATGAGTTGATACAATGAATTTCATTCTTCTTTCTTATACACACCTCATTATTTCAATCTTTCAATCTCTCACTAATGTGGGATATCTCAAACTCAACCACAATTCACCAACACCTCAATACTCAAATCTCATGATGCCATCTCAATACTCTTGGTTCTTC